GTCATAAACTTTACATTATATCTTATCTCTAGGCTGGATTTATCAATACATTTTTTTTTCTTTTTAACAGTAGATTTGATACAAACTTATTACGTATTATTTTGTTATTTATTTACTACTAACTAATCTATTTTACTGAACTATATTTTTTCATGGCATACTTACATTCTAGACTGATTAAACTCCATCTCTTATCATTTTCTGGTCTTATGCAGCATTTTGTATGAATAGTTAATATATTACGTTTTAATATATACTATACATATTTCTTACGATTTTTTTTAACTTAGTTTTCTATTGTATTCCTATGTCTTATTTTTAATCTTTACCTTTTTTACTATATCTTCACAGAATTTTATGAATTCTTTTCTTTCACTTTTCTTTGCTAGAATATCCATGATATTGCCTTCTGTAATTCTTATATTTATTTTCTGTTCCAGGTCCAACCTTTTATTACTGTACATTGGGCAGTCAATGAGCAAGTGCATCACCGTTTCTTCAACCTCGGGGTCACAAACACAACCAGCGCTTGTCCTACACTTAAAGCGATTTAGGTATTCTGCGAAGGCACCGTGCCCCGTAAATATTTGCACTAGTTCTGGTGATGGTTTAATTTTCCTTATTAATTTATACGCTGTTTCGGCATTTTTGAAGAATATTTTGGTGGTCGTAGCTGTCTCGCTGTTTGTGTACCGTTCGTTCCACTCCTGCACTGATTTTACCCTTATCATTCGTTTTATGAATGATATGGGGCATCTATCATATTGGGATGCTGTTTTCTTATATAGTGCCGCTTCTTTTGCTAAGTGGTCCGCTCTTTCGTTCCCTTGATGTCCCGCATGTGCCTTAATCCAAAATAACTTTACTGTTTTATTATCTTTTAAGATCTTAAGATTTTTTCTGATTCCGCGGACTAATGGATGGAAGTTTTCCGGTGATTTCAATGATTGCAGTCCTGATTGGGAGTCGCTGTAGATGCTAAAGACACTGTCCTTATGCTTCAACATAAGTTCTGTGGCTTGGTATAGTGCGTAAAGTTCGGCTTGGTATACTGTGCAGAAGGATTCAAGCTTGAACTTTTTACTTAAAATTTCAGTGTTATCCCTCCACACAGATAGCGCTGCTCCTACCTTCCCGTCAATTTTACTCCCATCGGTGTATATCTGTGTCACCTTTAGCTTTTCTTTTGTTTCTTCCATCTTTTCCGGTTGTTTACTTTCTATTGTACTAAAAATTATTTCGTCTTCTGTGGCTGGGTGCTCGGCTTCTATATACAGTACCTTTTCTTCAACTTTTCTGTCTCCCAGGATGTCCTCCTGCGGTTTGCCACGTTTTGCTTCATACAGCCTTGCTGCTTCCCGCAAGCGGACATCCAGAGGTAACAGTCCCGTTAATATCAGTGCCGAATTCAGCGATACGGTCCTGTAGGCTTTACATATTTTTTGTGTGAAGCCCCGTTGCAAGGTGTTCAGATGTTTTTGCACGGTTATTTTTTTTGATGCACTTGCCCATACACTGGCTGCATAGAGCACGATCGGCTCGACGACTGACACATAGATGGTCCTGATGATTTCCGAATTCAATCCCCAAGAAATTTTTGCTGTCTTTACTAACTGTTTGTATATATTTGTAACCTTGCGACATATATGTACAACATGACTATGGAAGGTTAACTTTTTATCTATTATAAGGCCTAATAATTTAATCTCATCTACTATTTTTATGTTTGTTCCGCCCATGTGGAGTTGTGGTGTGTCGTAATTAAGTTTTTTTGGTGATAATTATTGCATTTGTTTTGTGTGCAGCAAAACTAAGTTTGTTGCGCACACCCCAATCATACACAAGGGCGAGAGTTCTATTTGCTTTTTCTTCAATTTTGGGAATTCTTTGTCCGGAGAAGACCAGGACGACATCGTCCGCAAAGGCTTGGCAGTAAACTTGCTCCCTATCCATTAAGTCCAATAAAGGGTCCAGTAATAAATTCCAAAACGTAGGCCCCGCTATAGATCCCTGCACGCATCCTTTGGATGTGGATCTTTCGACTTCTTTATCTGCGTATCTTAACTTTATTTTTCGGTTTTCGAAATAGCTATTAACAACTTTGCGGAGGTTTTGGGGACACTTTTTCTCTAATAGTTGGCATTTTATGGCAGGCCACCAAGCGTTGTCAAAAGCTCCCTGTATGTCTAGAGATATAATAAGGCTTATCTTTTTATCTTTGAGGTTTACTCTTATGTGTTGCAACAGATCATACAGGGAGTCTTCCGTACTTCGCTGGGGCACAAACCCATATTGCCTTGGATTACTTTTTTAGCAAGATGTGCCATCGTAGTCTTTTAACTATCAGTTTTTCTAAAATCTTACCTAATATTGAAAGCAATCCAATGGGTCTATGGGCCTTGGGGTGGGTATAGTCATTTCTACCAGGCTTTTTGAGGACTATTACAACAGCCTCCTTCCATGGTGTTGGATAATGAGCAAGCTGCAAGCATTTGTTGACCATTGATAGAAAGAGTTCTTCATTTGTTCCTATTGCCGCAGTACATATATCCATTGTAAAACCGTCAGATCCAGGTGCCTTTTTAGTACTAAAACTTCCCATAACGTTTCTTAGTTCAGCTTTAGTGAATGGCGGATCCTGTGTGTCATTTGGTTGGTATTGCTGTAGATTGTTAGCTTTTTCTCTTACTTTTCCGTGTTCAGTATTATCTACACTACTGTCATCTACTGGAAAAAAGCTATCTGCTAACCATGCTGCCGATTCATCAGGACACAAGGCCTTTCCGCCATTCACTAATAGCTGATCCTGTTGTCTTTTAGGTGTTTTTCTAATAACCCTGTATATCCTATCCCAGAAACTTTCGCGATCCTGTTTTGTACAGTACTCCTTCCAACTATTTGTTTGTGCACTAAGTGCCTCTTTTTCATATTTCATTTTTGCCTCCAGATATTGCTGTACTACGTGTTCCCTTCTATGCCTTGCAGCACATCGAACTCTTCTTCGTTTGGTAATCATTGCCCTTTTCATTTCTTCTAGTTCTCTAGTCCACCATGGTATGTATGTTTTTTCTTTTGTATTTAGTTTCGGAATATTTTCTTCACATGCTTTATTTATACCCTCAATATATGAAGCTATAATGTTTTCCAAAACCTCCCTTGATACAATTTTTTCGACTGCTGCTATTTCAATTTTATTTTCTTCTAGATAGTTATTAAATGTTGTTTTAAAATCTGTCCAGTTAGCTTTTTTAGTGTTATAAATTCTAGTGGTTTGAATTTTTCTTTTTTCTTGCGGTTTATCTAAGTTGACCGAGAAAACTATTGCATTATGATCTGAACTTATTAAATCTTTGTCCACCCTCCAATCTTGAATATGACTTAATAAATTTTCGTTACATGCTGTTATGTCTACATGACTTGTGTATAATTTGCCCCCTCTGATTGTATCAAAAGTAGGTTCTGTTCCTTCGTTTAATATATGTAGACCCATTTCGTCCAATGCTTCCTGTAGTGCCATACCTCGATGATCTATTGAAGTGCTTCCCCACCAGGTGTTCCATGCATTTGAATCTCCACCAATTAATGTATATTTAGCTGTTTGTGTTTTGACTATTTTTTCAATTTGTTTAAGATATGGTTCTATGGGTAAATAATCTTCAAAGTATATTGAAATTGCTACTATTGTCCATTTATCAGTCTTTAGTGTGGCAACTACAATGTTTTCCGTAACCAAAGTAGGGTCCTCTATTATATTTATATCCGGATCGAAAACAATTATAGCTGCTTTGTTCGGCTTTTCTTTTCGTTGACATTGTACTATTCTACTACCTGGTGGTTGCTGTACTACTCCTGTAGCTGCTGTATATGGTTCTTGTACTAAGGCTATTGAGATATTTTTACTACGTGCTTCAATAAAAACCTCCTGTGTGGCTAGCTTCTTTCTTTGTAGGTTTATTTGTATAAGTTTATATATTTTCTTACTGGGATTGACGTGCAGGGATTGCGTCACTTTGGTGTTAACTTTCTCGTCTTAACAATAGGCTACGCTACTTCTTGCAATTGCTTCCCATTTTTTGCGTATAGGACATCTGTTATCGAAGCTGTTATGGTCAGTTTTATCGCTTTTTGCCAGGTGACAATTTCGGCACGTTGGTATATCTCCTGAAAGCCATCCTGGGCAGTCCGCTCTTAAATGTGGTCCGGAGCAGTGGCTACACAGTGCAATAGACTCCTTACACAGTTTATTTCCGTGGCCGTATCCCAGACATTTTGTACATTGCACCAGGGGTGACTGATCCTGAACTCGTATCCTTTGTAGATCGATTTGGATACGGCCTACAGTTGTCATGCGTTGCCAAACTTTAGGAGACACCTGTAGGATTATGTGATTCTCATGCGGATTTCGTGCTTTTTTCCTGTACCTAATAGATATTCTAATGTCTTCTGGCCCTAAATTTTCGATGAAATGTTTATTTTGATTTTTGATTGCTTTAATAATATCCTCGTCCGTATTATAAGTCAATACATCTTTTAATATTACAAGCGGATCTTTATTCTTTGTTTCTTGTATATCTAATTTTTGTTCCGAATTTTCAATTTTGTCTCTCAGCTTTTTTAAATCCTCCTTAGTCTCACAGCTTAGAATTACTTTCTGTTCCTTCGCCTTCCTTACTCTGTCTACACGGATTCCAGAAGATTTTGCATCAACTGCCTCTCTTATTTTGTCAATAACTTCTTGGCTAGTATCCTTCTCACTTTTTGATGAAACAATTATTGAATGCATTGACGCATAATTTGTTGTTTGCGAGCTACGAGCTGCAATTTCAGCATATGTATAATTTCCAGATTCTTTCTTGTTAAAATCGTTGTGTATTTGCTCCACTTGATGCCCTAGTTTTTTCAGCAAGATATTCGATTCTTCGATAGTCAGTCCATTTTTATTTATTTGCGCTAAGATTTCTCTAGTCGCTTGTCCATCATTTAGGCCTATTTGCATTCCGTTATTTTTTTCCAGCAGCGTCTTGTGTCAAAATTTGCCTAACAGATGCTAATTCCTTTAGAATGTCCCTTACTGTTCCCTTTGCGTTTGCCCCATTAGACGTTTCCAACAGACCCTCTAACTTCTCAGCGTATTCTTTTTCCTTTCTTAATAGTTCCTCCTTTACACTTAATTTAGATTTTTCCAGTTGTAGTTGCAGTGTCTGCCGGGATTCACTCATGCGCAATATAATCTCATACATACCAGTTATTCCATATAAAACCTTTTCTTTAATGGATGTTTTAAGGTTTCCTGATTGCTCTATTTGCGATTTTGTATCTTGCAAAAGCTTATTTGCTGCAGCCACTAGAGTCGACTGAGGCATTGTCGAAATATTTAACGAGGTATCGTGTGTTCCGCTCTGTCCATTTTCTAACCTATCTTCGTTTGTTGCTGCACTTTGAAGCAGCGCTCGCTTACGCATATCAACTGTACCAGCTGAGGGTCTGTGGGCCATTTTAATAATGCAGATTTGTAGTTAACAATAATAATACTATTATAGCCTAGTAAACAAAACAAAATAAAATAAAATAAAATTGTATAATAGTAAGTAATCAAAATATCCTAATCTAACGGTGTCGGAAATATCCAACCACACCGTGTCAAGGTATGTAAGCAGTCAATTTTAACACAAATAAGAATAAAACAAATTTACATTAAAAAAGTAAAATAATTTTTTTTTTTAAACTCTATGTAGAGTTAAAAAAAATTTTTAAATATCTTATAAAAACAAAACTTTCTAGAAGATATATGTCTAGTAATTTTAAAACTTTATAAAATATTCTTCAAGAAGAGACTTACAGGCTAACAAATTATCGGCTCTACAAAGAGTCTATTTCTAGACACCAGCTAAAAGCGCTCCTCGAGCCCTATCCAGGGAACCCAAACTCGGTATACCTAGCCCAAAAGGTTCCCAAGTAACAGCGCTTTCAAATTATGGTTTTAAAACAAGATGGCCGCAAAAAATACGGTTTATGCGCTGTAACTCCTGAAAGGATGGGCCTACAGCTCCGCGCCTAGGCTCGTTTTGGTGGGCCCGACCAGGGCTATAATATGGTGTAGCTTTCAGGACCTAAGTTTTTGGCGCTGAAATTTCCTGAAAAATAAATTGTCTGTTCCAGCACCAACTGCCGACTTCTAGGGTCAAAATCCCAGCCTTCTGTGACGCCTAGTTCAGCAGTTATGACGTTTTTAAAATTTTCAAAATGGCCGCTGGTCCAGACAATAAATGACTATTTTCGCCGTTTTTAAACGGATTTTACCCGTGTTTGGGCTCGTTCAAAAGGTCTCGGTGTCGAGCTTACTTCTATATAAATATTTTGGCTTTTTCAGCCCCCTTTAATTAAATTTTTTACAAAATAAGATAAATTTTTTAGATAATTTGATTTTTAAAGTTAAATTATGTTTTTTAAAATTCTACAAAAATTTGCATGTATTACTATCAAGACCCTTATATTAATTACGTATTTTATAATTTTCTAGTACTTATTTTAAGGGTAGCACATGTTAACTAAAAATATTAAAAAATTTATAACTAAAAAACTACTCACTATAAAAGTCCAAAAATTTGTACATATATTCCTTTCGTACTTCTAAACAATATTTTAAAATAAAAATAAGGGGTCTCCACTTTATTTTTAAATTTATCGAGATGTCAATTTTTGTCAAATTTTATAAGTTCCATATCTCGTAAACCACTTAACTTAAAATTGTCCCGAAACTTGCTCCTGGCTCCTCTCCGCAGGTACTACCGGGATCCGACTTCCAAAATAGCCGCACGACTCTGCTTCAAAAAACACGTGCCCACGTGGTACTTGTTTTTTTGGGTTTTTCTCGAAGACTGTAGCTCCGAGAAAGCTCAAATTTTGCATATAGGTGGGGGCCGTGACTAGCTTTAAGGCCGCACTTTAAAAAACAGGGGTAAAGGCGACTAATCGCACAGCGTTTCACTTTGAAGTTTTTAAATTTTTTTAAAAATCACTCTTTTCACTATATCTTTTTGAAACAATCTCCGATTTTCTTGCGGTTTTCACTACTTTAAGCAGCAAGTTAAAACACAACTTTTGATATATCACACACGAAAATCGGTTGCAAAAAACCTATTTTTCCGAATTTTTAAGTGCGGAGCGATTTTAAAACGTGGCGTTCGGGACGGCAATTGACACCGGACTCTGGGTTAGGTTAGGTTAGGTTAGGTTAGGTTAGGTTAGGTTAGGTTAGGTTAGGTTAGGTTAGGTTAGGTTAGGTTAGGTTAGGTTAGGTTAGGTTAGGTTAGGTTAGGTTAGGTTAGGTTAGGTTAGGTTAGGTTAGGTTAGGTTAGGTTAGGTTAGGTTAGGTTAGGTTAGGTTAGGTTAGGTTAGGTTAGGTTAGGTTGGGTTAGGTTAGGTTAGGTTAGGTTAGGTTAGGTTAGGTTAGGTTAGGTTAGGTTAGGTTAGGTTAGGTTAGGTTAGGTTAGGTTAGGTTAGGTTAGGTTAGGTTAGGTTAGGTTAGGTTAGGTTAGGTTAGGTTAGGTTAGGTTAGGTTAGGTTAGGTTAGGTTAGGTTAGGTTAGGTTAGGTTAGGTTAGGTTAGGTTAGGTTAGGTTAGGTTAGGTTAGGTTAGGTTAGGTTAGGTTAGGTTAGGTTAGGTTAGGTTAGGTTAGGTTAGGTTAGGTTAGGTTAGGTTAGGTTAGGTTAGGTTTTTTTATACTTGTTCCCCTGACATGTGAACTCAGGGACTTTTTTTAATCTTTTACTTTGTTTTCTTTTTTATTATTTTTATTCTTTTATTCTTTTGGTTTTATTTCTTTTCTCTTTATTTCTTTTTTTATTATCTACTTAATTCTAAGTACATATATTACTTTTCTGTTTATTATTTTTACTTGTTTTGTGGGCTGTTAACATTATATATTTGTATATATTATGATTCAGTTTTCCCTTATTACTACTATTATTTATTCTTATTTACTACCTTATGTACTATATTCTTACAATACCTTAAAAACTTTTTTCTTACATATTTATTACTAATTATTTTATATAAATTTTCTTTGATTACTTTAATTTCTATCTCTAGTTCTAAATCTACTCTTTCTCTACAGTATATAGGGCATTCCGTTATTAGGTGGATGACTGTCTCCTCTATTGTTGGCTCACAGGCGCATGATGGGCTCTCTTTACATTTAAACCGATATAGATATTCAGAAAACCCACCATGTCCTGTCATCAACTGTACAATTTGCGGATCCATATCTATGTTCCTTATTACAGGATAGGCATTGATAACATTGGGGAAAAACCATTTGGTAGTGGAGGCTGTTTCTCCTTCAATGTATCTTCGGTTCCATTCGTCAAGCGAATCCAGTCGAATCTGTCGCTTAACAAATGAAACCGGACACTTATCGTAGTCTGGCCTTCTTTTTATTTTAAGGGCGGCTTCTTTAGCTAGTTCGTCTGCTCTCTCGTTTCCCTCCAATCCTGCGTGAGCTTTAATCCAAAATAGTTTGAGGGATTTCCCTTGTTTGTTTATTTGACTGATGTTCGTCCTGGTCTCTGCTGCTAGGGGATGGAGGGAAACGCCTTGTACTACTGTCTGGAGAGCAGACATTGAGTCGCTGTATATATGACAGCTTTGTGCCGGATGATATAACGCGTACCTGGTTGCTTCTCGAATGGCGAGCAATTCAGCCTGGAAAACGGTGCAGAAATTTTCCAACTTTAGTTTTCGGCTACTCGTCTCCACTGCATCATTCCAAATGGATAATGCAGCGCCGACTTTCCCCTCGATTTTACTGCCGTCAGTGTAAATTGTGAGGCCTTTGTAGTCATGTTGGTCCATCTCTGCCCCGTCCCCCAGGCATGTGTATTGCAGGCCATATTCGTCTGCGGGGTGTGGTATCTTTATAAATTCTATTTTTCTCTCCATATCTCGATCTTCTACCACTCGCCGGGAAAAGCCTCTCTTTATTTCATAAAGAAGGGCTGCTTCCGGGGTTAGTTAGGTTAGGTTAGGTTAGGTTAGGTTAGGTTAGGTTAGGTTAGGTTAGGTTAGGTTGGTTGGTTGGGTTAGGTTAGGTTAGGTTATTGGTTAGGTTAGGTTAGTTAGGTTGGGTTAGGTTAGGTTGGTTAGGTTAGGTTAGGTTAGGTTAGGTTAGGTTAGGTTAAGTTAGGTTAGGTTAGGTTAGGTTAGGTTAGGTTAGGTTAGGTTGGTGGTTAGGTTAGGTTAGGTTAGGTTAGGTTAGGTTAGGTTAGGTTAGGTTAGGTTAGGTTAGGTTAGGTTAGGTTAGGTGGTTAGGTTAGGTTAGGTTAGGTTAGGTTAGGTTAGGTTAGGTTAGGTTAGGTTAGGTTAGGTTAGGTTAGGTTAGGTTAGGTTAGGTTAGGTTAGGTTAGGTTAGGTTAGGTTAGGTTAGGTTAGGTTAGGTTGGTTTTTGTTCTTTTTTTTTTTTTTTTTATTTTTTTTTTTTAATCGCTTTTCCCCGATCATGGGATCATCGGGTCCTTGTTAGTCTTAATTTCTCATACATTCCAGTTCTCGCATTTATTCACACTTTCAGGCCGCATACTTATTCTTTCTTTTATCCATCCACGCTCATTCTTTGCCGGGTGGGACTCCCGCTATTCTATGCCTAGTTATTTATTTTTCTTTGGGAAAATAAAATTCCGTACATATTTTTATTTCTGTTTTGTCTTCGATAGTATTTACATTTTCTATATACTATCAATCACTACACTACATGCTACATGCTTATTTTTATTTAACTTATAAGCTTACTTGCTTACATATTTATTGACTTACACTATTATACTTATACTTATTTCTTAATTTCTACAATTTCTGTTTCTTAATTCTATTTTAACATGTATAAGTCTAACATCTATATATACCTAATATTTTCTATCATCTTATTTCTACCATTTTCATTCTTATATTTATTGTCTGTATAATAGTAAAAACTTATATCTATTTATTTTAAACATTTTTAAATTAGCAATTTGAAGGTCTTAATATTTATGCACATATCAGGATTTGTGAATTCTGTCATGTGTCTACTTTTATACATCCTTCTATCTGTTTGTCACGCTTTCCTAGGCAATATAGTATATATACAAATTTTATATATATATATTGTCCTCTTCTTTTACTAGTTTTTATTTCATTCTGTTCTTTTGTGTTGTGTTAGTGTTGTGATTCATGTAAGTGTTACTGTGCTGATATAATCGTGTATATTCAATATACATTCTGTATATCAGTTTGTGTTCGTTGTCTTGTTTTTCCTGTTTGTGGGTGTCGTGTCTGTGTTCCTGTGTGCTTTGTGGCTGTCTGTTTGTGTAGTGTTTTTTGTCATAAACCGTTCAAGCATAGGCCGTATTTGCACGGGCCAGGAAGTCCCATTTTCTTCGCACCGGACATTCAGTACTAAATGCATTATGGTCGGTCCTCCGCAACCCAGAGTGTGAGCAGTTGCAGCACTGTGGTTCAC